CTCGTGGGGTTTTGCCTCGGCGGGCTCATCGCGCAGGCCGCCGCGCTTCGCTTCCCGCGCCGCATCCGAAGTTTGACGCTCATCGCGACCCCGCTCGGGGGGGGGGCAATGGTGAAGCCCTCCCTCCGCACGATGGTGGGCTTTCTCGGGGCTCTGCCGCGGGAGGGGTGGGCCCTCAACAGCCTCACCTCGGAGGCCCGCCTGGGGGTCTACGCGGAGAGTTTCGCGCGCTTTGTTGAGCGAATCGCGGGGGATCGCGCGCGCTACCCGTTTGATCGCGCCCGCTGCGCTCAACAGGCCCTGCGGGCGTTCCGCCGCCGCCTGAGCCTCCCGGGCGCGCGAAGGCAACTTTTGGCCTTTTTAAGCACCCCCGACTGGACGGCGACGCTTCGAGAGACTATCACGAGCCGCCCGCCATCCGCGTCGTCGTCGGGGCCGCCGTATTATATCCCGACGGTGGTCATCCACGGCGCCGAGGATCCCCTTTCCCCGCCGGCGAACGGCGAGCGGGTGTCGGCGGCCATCCCTGGCAGTAGGCTTATTCTGGTCGAGGGAATGGGACACCCACTGCTGCCGGCCCTCCGCAAGCGGTACGTGGGTTGGATTGCACAAAATATCCGCGCAGGCGAGGCGGCCGCCGCGCAGAGGGGGGAATTATCCAGCTATGGGAAAGTCAACCCCTCCCAAACGGCATCACCCTCGAGCGATTTACCAGCGAACACGGGAGGAAGTGCGGATTCCAAGGCAAATGAACTCCCTACCGGGGCTAATTCAAAGCTGTAGGGATGCTTGTGAGATGATTGATATTTTCTCCCTCCCTCCTTCCCCCCTTTTTTCTTGCTGGGCATAAAAAATTTTCACTTTTATTATTATTGCATTTATTTGTCTCAATCAGGTATCGTCTATTATAATTCAATTTTTTTTGGTAGCGAGTACGTTGGTCATGAAGTTTAGACAATTCCGTACTTGCTCCCTTGGGCCACCCCTCTACTACTTTTTTCTATGTATTAGTGTTAGCAGATAAGGATGTATCTTACAAATCAGTAAAATTCAGCCGTACATCTTTAAATCGAATTTTAATTCATAGAATTTTGTTTCAGATGAATCGATTGGTATGTTTTTATTATTATTCAACTATGCGTTTTCATTGCATACTGTTATTTTATGTCTACATTTTTACTTATCTTTTGCTTCTTTACTTTTCTCTATACAAATATAAATATATATATATAGGAATTTAATAATTTCCTTATCAGCGCAATACAACTTATCAATATTTTTCTTTGGACACTATCTTCCACAACTCATTTTTTTAATTAAATTTTATACATTCAACTTCAAAATTTGACAAAGCGAACAATTCAGGGTAGGTTTTAATATATTTTTTTCCTCCATCAATGGGGCCGGAACACCCCCTTCAGGAGGTTCCTCGCACCGAGGAGGTTTTAATCACTGTTCGTTATTGCACCTCAAGCAAAATGCCGATTGAGATTTGCTTTCAATGCTTTGGCGATCCCCTGGAGGGGGCCCCGGTGGTTTTGTTAGTTTGCGGGCTGAATATGCAGCTTTACGCCTGGGATGAATCCTTCTGTGAGGGGCTGGTCCGCGCGGGGTTTTACGTCATTCGCTATGATAACCGTGATATCGGGCGCTCCACCAAGGTGGAGAACTGCGGGAAGGTGGTGGGGCCGGGGCTGCTTTTGCCGGGAAAATGGGCCTCCATCCTCGGCGAAAAGCTGCCCTACACGATGGAGGACATGGCCAAAGACGGCCTGGCGTTGTTGGATGCGTTAAAAGTGCCTTTTGCGCATGTTTTTGGGATTAGTATGGGCGGGGTAATTGCGCAATGTATGGCGTTGTTGGCCCCCGCGCGGGTGTTGAGTTTGGTGAGTGTGATGTCGACCACAAACGCGCCAGACCTGCCGGACGCCGCGATGTGGGTGAAGTTGTTGATGCTGCGCAAACCCCCGCCGAAGTGCACGTTGGGGGAGTTGTTGGAGTTTCGCGTGGGGGTGCTTTGCCGGATGCTCCACCACGCCCTGCCGGTTGATCGGGAGTATCTTAAACGGCGCTATCGTCTTTCCCTTCAGCGGAGTAGTTATAGCCCGGGGCTGCTTCGCCAGGCCGCGGCTTTACGACGTTGTGAGGGCCGTGATGAGGCCCTGCGCGAGTTAAAAATCCCCGCGTTGGTGATTCACGGCGCGCGGGATGTGGTGGTGCCGCCGATTCACGGCTACCGCACCGCCGCCGTTCTTCCCCACGCGCGGATGTTGATTTTTAAAAGTATGGGCCATTACTTCCACCCAGCCTTCTTCGGGACGATTATTTTGACTTTTGCCGGGATGGCCTCGACGACCGCAGGGGGGGGGAAGCCGTTGATGGGGGGATTTTCCCCTTCCTTCGCGGACGAGATCGCCCTCGGCGGGTCGTTCTGGACAGACGACGACGACGCGCGCACGGACTTTAAAGGTGAAGAGGAGGGGAGGGAACCGCCGCCGCGGCCGAGAATGTCCTCGATGGGGTCTTTTATCAAACCTTTTGTGGTTTCGCCGCGGACGCCGACGGACGCCGCCGCGCGGGCCTCGCTTTTGCTGAAGGAGTCGCGCGGGATAGGCAGCCCGGCGATCCCTGAGGCCGTCCTCATCGACTTTCACGACGAGGACGGCGAAAGGGAGGGGGGGAATTCGAAATTGCACACAACATTGCCCTCCACAGACGCGAAAATGGGGGATTCCGCGTCTTTGGAGCCTTCCCAATCGCCAGAAATCGCGCCGTTTGAGCCGGGATTGCACTCGACGTGGAATCGCGCGGGGGTTCGTCACCCCGCAACCACCAACGCGGGGGAGCAGACTGGTCTTCCCTTGCCGTTGGCTCATCTTTACCCAACCCAAACGGCCTTTTTTCCTTTGCGGTCTGCGAATTTGGAGGAGATCGAATCCACCTTGCTCTCGCCGGCCTTGATGAAGGTCGCGGAGTTGATGGAAAAGGACACCCCTGCGATTTAAAAGGGAAAACGACGGAGCGGCGCAGGGCCACGTATCCTCCACAAAAAGAAACCATTGTAAAGAGTTTGTGAGGTAGAAAAAGGAATAGCGATAAGGAGGGGGACGGCGCGGAATGAGGGGATGATAGGTGTGTGTGTGGAGGAAATAAGTGAATGCTGGAATCAAGAATATACTCTACGACAACATTAGTACTTTGAGTAATTTTGAAAGGTCTTATTTTTTGTTCTCTCGGGTATCTCCTCCATCTTTCTCTTCTTTTTTTTCTTTACGGAAGAAAAGCAAAGACGCTTTTGCGAATGCAGTTTATATGTTTTCCAGAAAGGTGTCAATAGAAGCTAAAAAGAGGGTTTGATGCGAAAAATGAGTTTGCATTAAACGAAATGTTCATAGTAAGTCAGTGTGTAAATGAATTATGTTCATATTTTTACCCTTTCAGCTAAGTAGCTAGGTAATTGTTTCTATCATGCTTTGTTGCCTATAAGGATGTTAAATTTAAAGATTAGATGAGTTACATTTGAGCTTCAAAAAATCATTTCATTTTAAGCTTGTCTAATACAATCATATTAATAATGTTTGATTCACTATTTTCCACTCTTGCATTTGAATTAAGTTATTTATTTTGTCAATGCAAACGAGTCACAGTACACTGAGGTCTCCTTATCATATGATGTTATACGCATATGCATTTTCCTCCCTTTACTTTCAATGAATATATTTTTCCATGTAACTATTTATTATTTCATATATTTCATTTATATATCTAAATCTTTATCTCACCTATCTATTTATCTATCTATATCTATAAATTAATAAATATATATATATATTCCAAATGATTTAGAATTAAGTTTTATATTTGTACATAATTTAATGATATCTACACAGGATCTACAGGAAAATATTTTCAGTTATTTCTTTCTTAAAACTTATTTTCAGAGATCCTGTGAGTGAGATGAATACAGTGATAAGGAGATCCATAGTTACTTTTGCTTAGATAAGATCTAAGTAAACCAATGACATTTTATATAGGTTTTGATATATTTTTGTGATTTTTTATTTAACTGAGGAATAAATAGAGAGAGGGAGAGTATCTTTTTTTAAACCAAGAGTGCGTTCGCCTGGATATGAAACTTCCTTTCTCTACCTTTTCTACGCGAGGATCCAGTACTTTATGAACCTAGTTTGAAAAAGTTGATGTCTTATCTTTAGATTTAGCATATATATATTTTAAAGAGAATTTCAAACAACTTGCAATCTTTCAACAATGTATTATTAATGGATAAAATACATAATTGACAATGCCTTATATTAAATTCAGATCACTAGTCCACACCACCCCTCCCACACTCAAATAAAGGGACATTTATTACCTCGGAAGTCTAGTTTGTTGCTAAGATGAAAATAAACCAAACGTGTAGAGGTGACCAAGTAAACAGAGGATACCTGATACCAAAGTGATTGGAACGTTTAAATTTCTATCAAAGGGAGTAAAAAAAAGAGGTTATTTATGCATTGTACACCTTTCCATGGGACCTTGGATAGATATTTTTGCCTTAATTACTTTTATGCAGGGAGATGCCATTAAAAAGACATGCGAAAAGGGATCTGTACGACTGGCATCCACGTTTTCTTGATGTTCTGTGTGTACTGTATTCTGAATATTTTATCAGTGTGTGTTTTCTAATGCGTTTTTGACGAAAATTTAGTATATACTTTTAACTCTTCATAAAAGATCACTCCGAGAGCGATCATATACGGAATATGCACTTTTTTTTTTGTTAAACGACTAATAAAATTTTTTAAAATAAATTTATACTCAATAAATGACGGATGCTTTGGATCATTTGACCGAGTTTATAATGGTAGTTGTGTAAACATCGTCTGAAAGTACCATTTGATTTTCAACTAAGTGATAATTCTCCAACCTTCCGCGGGTGGCAAAATAGACAGCAGTGGACAAAGGCTGTATTATTATCCAATGGAGCCCCGGTGTCATCGACACGGCAATGAATTTTATGAACTGCAAGCCGGCCATTCGGCGATTCTTTCTTCCAATGTATCCGTCTTCTACCCAACCCGCCCTATTTCTTTTCATCCTTTCCATGTTTATTAGCGCTCTCTTTACGAAAACGCTAGTGGCGTTATGCGATTCGGCAGGCATCCGAAAAGCAGCCACACCCACCCGGAGCACGCGAACGCCTCGAAGCCGACCCCCGCCGGACCCCC